CACAACTAAATTATATATATGACAAACACAACGCATGTGAAATAATATAGAATCATATGGAGGTGTAACCGTTCTAATTAAAAGTTCAATGCATGCACTATTAGCACTTGCATTATCAAAGGTAACACTAAATAATTTATTTAACACACCAAATTCATTAAAAATTTGTAATAAATTTTCACACAAATTTACACCATTATGTGGATATTGAAGTAAACGAAAAGCAATAATTCTCTTATGCAATAACCAGTTATTATCAATGAAATGTGCTGTAACACAAGCATAACCATTATGATTTCGTCCAAACCAACAATCAAACGTGAAACACATAATTGCATCATTTTTTTTAAAATCATTTTTTAAATTCTCAACCATTGCATGAAATAATTTTATAGAATCAGAACGAGCAGTATTTCTACTTACGCTCCTGTAAGAAGATTGAATGTATTTTTCCAGGAACTCTTCAAAATACTGATCTTCTGCAAATGTGAAGAGCATCTCACGAGCTGCTAAAAATTCCAACATCCCAACTCGCATTCGTTCCTGCGAATACACAAAATTAATAAAAGTAACTGATCCATTAGCATTAGTAAAACCAGTAATCTTAGTTTGTCCATGATCCAAATGTCCCGTTTCATTTAGATATTTCTCTTTGTGTCTCTGTAGTATGCCGGTGCCTTGACCATATCTCCAGACATAATCTTTTTTGCAGATATTGTATACTACTTTTCCATCCTTTTCATTTACTGTAAATATTTGCCACACATCTGATATTTGTTTTTTCCTTGTATCTTGAGTGATCCAACTTCTACAACATTATCATCTTCTAAATTTATTGGAGAGCAACTATCATTGAAAATAGGATTTTGAAAAGAAGAATCGTTAAAATCCATAATATAGTAGGATTAAAAAGTTTTGTAGTGATTAGTGAGAACTGAGTATGAAGAAAGTATAAAAATTGATGAATGAACTATGAAATATAAATGTAGTAACAAGTATGAAGAAATCGTAGTAAGATAGTAACAAATATGAAGAAATGAAGATTGAACTATGAAATATAAATGTATAATAACTAATGAGAGGGTATTGTAAAAATAATTGTAGGAATAAATTGGAATTTATAGATGAAGGGAATGATATTATCGTTATAAAAATGATATTACCGTTACTAAAAAAAAATAAACAGTACGCCTGCATGGAGCTGCAGGTTTGCTTAGCCTGCTACGCCTGCTGTAGCAGGCACGTTTACTCGGGGAGAGAGCCAAACGGCTCTCTCCTCCCCCTTTTTTTAAAAAAGTTTTATTTTTTTGACACTCGCAAAGCCCGCGAGTTACACTTCCATGGCCCGTGAACCGCCCGCACGGGTTGGCTCGAGGTCCCGATTTTCACGGGCCGATTTTCACTGGTCTGGCCGACCCATCCGTCTTGACACCTCTACAAGGCGCCATACTACTGTAAGCAGTGGCGCTTTACTTCACAACCATCTACCGATGTTTTCAACTGGAGCATTGATTATTCCAGATCAACTGAAGACGAGGATGAGGAGGAGGCTGCTAGATCTGCTGCTATTAACCAGGAAATAAAGTGTGGCTGAGGATGCCAGCGAAAAGGCTACTGCTTGTGCTGCAAGAAGCGATCGACGAAGAAGCCATCTTCAGAAAGTGTAATCTAAAATTGTCAAGGGAAAAACTGTGATGAAATTGAAGGAGATGATGTGATAATTGCTACCATATGACAGTATTACAACTCTTTTCTTTCTTTTGTTAAAGAAACATTAGATTTTTGCAATGCTTTAAATTTCTTATTCTAATAGCTCAACAACTTGCATTCATAGGACCCAACTTATTGTAGTAATGATATCTATGCCCGTTGTTTTCAAAAGCTGTTTCAGAGTTATGCCTTGAGGTAAGAATGTAAAAAGAAAAAGGTTTCGATAAAAATGGAATTATAGTAAAAGATTAAAGACAAAATGTTCTAGTGCTAGATCGGTGGAGCTCTTATCCTTGGGATTCTCTGTCGGCGGAGTTTATTTAATTTTTGAAATTAAACAAACTCATCCACTTCCTGAAAACAGCATTAAGGTCGAGATGGTGATGGTTGTAGGTGTAAGGATGACTGGATTGATATGGTGGTGGTGGAGGCGTAGTCGGCGCCGCTGCAAAGTAAGAAGGCTGCAACCGGAGTTGGTGGTGTCGGTAAACATTTTTTGATCTATGACCAGATCGCGATTTGTAGTTCGTTATGATCGTTTGTGACCGATTGTGACTAGTAAATTGTGACTCGTTGTGACCAATTATGACCGATTGTAACTTGAAATTCTGAAATTTTTTTGGAAATTGGGAATGAGTGGATAGGGTGGGTAGGTTGATCGGAGCATGCGTTGGAGTGGTTATTGGAGCAGTTTGCCAGAGGGATCGTGAATAGCCGCCGGAGAGAGCGTCGAGGTGATTGTCTGAATAGAAGCGGAGCGGCCGTCGGAACTGTCACCGAAGCGGACGCTGGAGAGATCGTCAGAATTGTCGTCGGAGAGATCGCCGGAACTGTCGCCAGAGTAGATGGCCGCCTCCGATGGAGAGGAGGTAGGGAGGGGATAGAGAGTAGAGAGAGAGAGGAAGAATGACTTGGATTTGAAATTTAATAAATTGGGGTAATTGTATTATATTTAATTAATTGATTTAACACCTGATTTTTGAAAAGATTTTTGAAATTTGTTATTTTTGAAATGTAATTCTTATGTATATGATTTATGTATTGTTCCCATAGAAAAAGGGAAAACCTTCCAAATAGGCCCATAGTCAATTTATCATAGGTTCATAACTGTTATGCACTTCATTTTCTCATGAAAAGCGATCACATACTACCTTTAACACATAGAATTCAGAAAAATAATGCTGAATGAACAAGCCATGTCAACCCCGTCCAGTATTAAATTCTAAGAAAAACAATGTCATAACACTTAAGTTCCGACAGAGTTGAGATCTATTGTCTTGAATTTGCTATTATCCCAATATAACATTCAAGACACTATGGCACTCTACTCTTCTTAGCTAATGAAAAGAGGTCGAGGTACAATGCATCAAAGTGTCAAAAAATGTGTTGACGACTTTGAGATACTTTCATGTACTATATTCATTTACGAACTGTTAGGAGTGTCAACGAGTTGAGCCAAACCACGAGCCGAAACTCGAAGCTCGGGGTTCGACTCGAGTAAAAATGGTTCGAGCTTCTTTTGGCCCGAACCGAGCAGAGCAAAAGCTCGGCCAAAAAATTTAGTATAGACTATTTTTTAAAATTCATTATAAATCTAAATTTTTTTTAATGAATTTAAAATCTGTGCAAATTTTACTCATTATAAATAATAACTCAATATTAACGTATAAAAAATACAGCTAAAATTAAAAAACTTAAAAAATAAAAATAAAAATAGCTACCTGCAACACAGGCAACTGTATTTTTTTTTAGACTCGGCTCACGGGTCGAAAACGGCCGATGACGAGCGACGGGCTAGCTCGAGCTCGAACCACGAGCCGGATAGGCCGAGCCATGGGCAGCTCGAGCCGGAGAGCTATTTTGCCATCCCTACGAGTTGCTGTCATGTTGCAATAATGATAAACAACCGATTTGGTCTTACTCAATAAATTTGGAGTCAACTATATTAATCTTTTTTCTCTACTCCATTTTGTTCATTGCCTTGTATTAGAAGATGCAAGCAACTTTACCCTTAACAACCACAACAACACATATCACTCAAAACATTGCAGTCTTTTAAGCCTAAAGTGATGGTGCAACTCTTTCGCAGGAAATCTTAAACTAAGAAGAACAACTAAAGTTACAAAACTAAAACAACATTCTAAGCCATTTGCATGCCGCAGAGTACACAGGAAAAACAGGATGCAATCTTCTGCTTAATCAATATAATACACAGTGCGGAAAATTCTCTCTACTTACTTCAATTCGTAGGTCCATTGATAGCGGGAATCCTGCGGGCTGCGACAATCCGCTAAATATTCCTTTCTCCCGTTTTATGTGAGTCTCAGATAAGATAAGAATGCATGTATGGAAGGAAGGATACGACAGTAGTGGACGGCATTAAACATGTCAACTACGGCGTACCAACCATGCATGAAACGTCTAAAAAAAATCTCGTATGCCAAATCCTATTGCTTTATTGAAAACATGTGCCGAAAAACATATGGTATAAGCCATAGAAGGATAACCACAGAAGTATGACTAGCAGATGAATATTTAATTCAAGTATTCATACAGTAATTTCATAATTGTATAGTGCTAAAACATTTATCTTTGTATTACTAAAGCAATGGGAGGTATCAATGTTTCATCGTTACCTCGTGTACTTGATTCTTCTGCACTTAAAGAAAGCTGCTTGCCTTTACTGCAGTATTCCTCTGAGAACCGGGTGGGACTTGAGGAATAAGCTTTCACATAATGCGATGGGGACGAGCTCTTCCCAAGAGAGGAACCTGGGATGGAACTAGATTGAATTTCCCCGTCTTCCTGAGGCAAAGGCGATATTGGCAACTGGTCACCTTTTTTCCTGTAAAACTTATCCTCCACAATGTCATAAGAATTCCCAGTCCTGACTTCCTGAGCTAGAGAGCACCAACAGCAGAAAATCCACAAGGCAAAATCTGTGATAGCTGCTTTACCACAACAAAAATTATACGAAGGCAAATTGAATCTCTTCCTCATTTGAATCCTCCAAAAGCCACCATAGAGTAACCCAAATATGCAAAGGAAAATCCCGGTTAGACCTAATGCCATCCTGACAGCTTCATTATCAATATCAATAGCAGCCAGATTGAAAATCCAAAATGGAGCGATACAAAATAGAAGAAAAGTCACGATATGAACATATATGTTACCAAACCCAAGTCTCTCCATGTTCCATCCAAAAACACAGAAGCTACAAAATAACGAGAGATATGCTAAGGAAATATCATCCCAAAAATCAAGAATACCTCCACTCCACTGAGGATTAGTTTCAACAGTTCTTCCATCATCTCTCATTGCAAATGAAAATCTCTTTTCAAATGATATTCTTCTTGAATGATCCAGTTGGCTACTTACATCAGAAACCTGAACTTGTGCTTCTTCATCAATCTCTGTCTCGTAGTCTTTTCCGAGAGGGCTAAGCATGGTGTAAATGCCGGCAATTGCAGGGGCAGCAATTGCGACAGTGATACATATTCCGACCCCAATAGGAGGTCGTTCAGATCTTTTGTATCCCAAGTTAAGACCGCACGATGCATATTGAGCGAAACAGTTAATGTTGAGCAGAATCACAACCACCATCATGTGTGCCCATTCATTTGGTTTATAGGTTCCATTCTTGCAGTAAATTTTTCTGAGTTTTAAAATGTCTTCTGGCCTCCATCTCAATAGTAATGCAAGGTGATATATGCGTTTTGGGTGTTGGTATAGACACATGAGTGTGAAAAGTGCATTGAGGATTTGGTTATTGACTTCAAACCAAGCATCTCGTTGCGACTTTTTTGGGAGGACATGGTTCAACATTCCAGTCATGACCATGAATAAAATAGCACCAGAAACAGCAACACAGATAATCCAGATAAAAAGAGCCAGATTCATGGGATCCCTTAACCATTCTTTGCAAATTTTCCAAAGAGAACTCCAATCTATTTTTCGAGAAAATATCTTATTAAAGCGTTCGCGAATATCAAAACTACTAGAGGAATGTATATTACGCGATACTTCATCTCTCTCCTCAGCCATGCGCTGAAATCTTGCCGATGGTGAAGCCAAATTACCAAATTTAAGAAACCTTAGCTTTCTGGAAAGATAAGAATCATCGCTACTCCTGTTTACTGAACTTTCATCGGTTATAAGATCCCCTTGAGTTGTTGAAATGTGTAGCGGAATCCGGCCCTCGACTTTACCATCCTTAGGTTTCTCACCTCCACCACTGTTCTCGACATTATCACTTGAAACCATACTGGTTTTTTCGTGTGCTCGGAAATTGATGTACTTAAATTTTAGAAAACCGCTCTCATTCTTTCCTTCCCTTAACTGTGTCAATAAAATTACATAGAGCTGCAAGATTGGGAAAGCAATGCCAATCAATCCTTTTAACCAAAAACTTTAATCAATAATGCCGTGTTTTGTTAAATTGTGCGCTCATAAAAATAGTGTGTGAATCTTGCTTGAAATCACAGAAAATGCATAAGCTTTAGGACTATGCCACTTGTACATCAATTGCGTACATGACACAAATAAGCGTTGTCAAGAAATAGGTGGATGAAAAACCAATTTTTTTATAAACTGGTAAATGAGATAATAGCACGTGGCATGATGTAAACAAAGGCGTAGACAATGATGTATGACTGTAAACTTTATTGCAAGAAAAGGAGGGGGAGAAATCTACCATGCCCACAATCGTTTCCCTCAGGTAATAAAATACAAAACTTTATACAAGCAATAATTTGTTTAATTCCAAAATATAGATTAGACGAAGTACAAATAAATGAAAAAGAAAAAAAAAACGTAATAAGATTGAATCAAACAAAATAATTTATGCAGTAGCAATAACATTAAATTCTTGATTATATCAAATACACCGTAAAGTAAAGTTCATTCAAATTTCCACATTCTGAAAAAATTAAGGATGTTAACAGACAATATAAAGAGCAAAGCAAGAAAACCAAGAAGATTTACTAGTTATAAATAGGAACTCACCAATTGGTAGGGAATGAAAAAAATCGAGTGGATTTGAAGGATTTTGAGCAAAGAATGCAACTTGAAGCCTGATGCTGATTTTCATCTTCATAGCCACCATATTAAAGAACAAGAAGATACAGAAGTTTTAACGCTCTTTCTTCCGTTCTTTCTTTTGTCCATTCCTTTTTCAAAAAGTAAAATCATATCGTCCAGAGATGATAATCGATAGAAAGAACACAAACCCAAGTGGCCAAGATGAAAATAAAAAAAAATAAAAAAGAATTATGCAATATTAGTTCAAGCTTCAAACTTCAAAAGGAAGTGGCCAAGAAAAGAGAATAAAGCAGAGAGAGAGAATCCAGAACATGGGTGGAAAAAAAAAACAGGAATGGTTTCTTTGCTCAAAAGGTGAAATGGTGTAAAGGGACTGTAGCTCAGTTATTAGGGGAAGTATATACGATTTTGCAGTAACCAAATATGCCCACGTCTCTTCTTATTTTAAGACTCATTTTTTGCATATTTATTACAACCACGTATTCATTGAGGACCAAGTTACCTGTACTGCATTTTTTTACATAATTCCTTACCGATTACTCATAATAGAGGGGTGGGAATCACATCTTTGGATTTTTTTATTATCATAGAACCCGTGTGCATGTGAGAGGAGTAAACACTTCATTAGCTTTCATTATGTACAAATATCTTTACCCATTCATAAAATAAAATATTAAATTCAAATTTTTTTTTTCTATTTTTTAATTATACATCCTTCAAAAATTCATTGCTCGAGTCAGCGTTTTTTCAAAGAATGGCCACGGGCTCAAAAAGAGGGGGTGGCATTGGTGGTGCACCACCACTATCTTGTGGATACTGATTGATGGTTGATTGATTTCAATTTGAAAAGAATCTGCCATGCGTGACAAATGGTAGGAAATACAGCAAGTGGAGTCTTCTCATTGATTAGAACTAGTCGTCAAATCATAATTTGGTGTCCGATTTTCAACTAATTTAGGCTATGAATAGAATAACCCATTCATTTAGTACAAGTTTAAAAAAGGTTGAACCCCAAGGGCCCCCACCGTTCCTAGAACAATGTGAAGGAGGTAAATCGTGGGGATGTGTCTCAACAGGTCAGGATACAAGAACTGTCGTACTGGTGTCCACGAAAAGTCAAATTTTATACCTTGTAAGAAGCAGGAATCGAACCCTCGCACTGCGGTTACCAACTCAACTGAAACTACCTCATTCCTATCATTTGCACCACTGAACTATATCATTTGCACCACTGAACTATACCCCGGGGACTAGTACCAGTTTAAAATATAGAAGCATAAGTATTGGAATATAAATTTAGCCCTTGTTTGACGCGATTTAATTTATTTTAATTTTTGCTATAATATCATTTTTTTATCATGCATTTATACAATAAAATATTTTATACGTAAATCCAAAATTATTATTACTTTTAACCACATATTTTCGTAAAAATACTATTCAATTTTTTTTTTTTTTAAATTTTAATGGAATCAAACAAGGGCTTAAGTGACAGGGTTTAGCCCATGTTTGCTATGAATTAAAATTTGATTTTAATCCCAAATTAAAGTATAAATTCATAAATTTTATCAAAATTTACTAAATATCTGATTTTAATTTACTCGTCAAGACAATCACGTCAACACGACCAACCACTTCCTTAGCTGCTTCACAACCCTAACAACACTAACTAACAAATATAGAAGCTCTCTAAAAGAACATTCTATGTTCAACATGAGAAATGAAGAATATGCCAAACATGAACTTAATAAGTTCAATTAAATATGTCATATGTTGTTACATTTGAATAAAAATAATATTATTTGTAGATCGTGCTTATCAACCAACGGTTCATGTGATAATGTGTCACTATCAAGGACGGATTCGAAGGGGGTAGTCTTTGGCTGTGGCTCAAGGTTGCCCAAGCCTATAAACATTATTTAGAGTGTGTTTGGGAAAAAAATTTGTGAGATTTTAATCAAAATTATACCCATTAAAGTCAAACCGTGGGCTCCATCTGTGAGAGGGAAGGACAAAAATGGTGGCTGATTTGATAGTTAACGGCTAGATTTTTGATTAAAATCTTGATTAAAACTTCTCCCAAACAGGGCCTTAATGTGGAATTTTATATTCTTATCTAGGCTCAAAATTAATTTTAGGATCCGTTTAATTGCAAATGTGAAAAATGAGTGAAAAGAAAACAAATTTTAGGGAATTGAATTGCCTAAAAATTATTTTACTGAGAATTGTAATTAATTGTATTTGATTGGTATAATTTTTCACTTGAAAAATGTTGAAAGTTTGGTATCCGTTTGGCTTTGTTTTTTATGAAAATTGTCCATTAAAGTGATAATTTCTTTTACTATTAGGTCTAGAATTTGTTTAACTTGCCAATAAAAATAAAAATTATCATACCGAATATCATTTGTTTGACTNCTGGAAAATGAAAACCCACCTGTGGGAACGCAATTTCAACAACATCAAGGAAAATGTGCACGTGTGAGAGAAAGTGAGAAAAAAATTTCCTATCAAACACTACACAAGTTGGAAAATGGAAATGTTGCCCATCAAACAGGGCCTTAGCCAACTCCATTATGATATAACCCACCAGACCCGTTAACCCTTTCAAATTTTCAGTCTAAATTCGATTGAGCTCTCACCTTTTCAGCCTAAATTCAACTCAGCCCTCAACTTTTCAACCTAAATCTAATTCAGCCATCAAAATATTCATTTAATTTCATCCTCAATCGTCCATTCTCTATTGTTCATTATTGGATTGATGAATTAGGTTGAATGGTTGGATCTGTTGTTGGATTGTCAATTTTTTTTTTTAATTTGAGTTATTGATATATATTTTTTATTTTTTCACTTCATAGAATTCAAATTAAATTAAACCTTGTTATGGAGGATATCTTAATGCCTTAATATACTACACTTTTTAAGATTTAAGCCTTAAAGATATCTACATTGGATTTTATAGATGTGTGATCATTTTTTCGGGGAACCAATTGGATTAAGTCGGAATCAATCGAATTAGTTTGATTACAGCTTACTCGATCAACCGTTTTCTCATTAAATCTAGCCCACCCTCACGGTAAACCTTGGCTCCACTCTTGGTCACCATTACATTTTTCAATAAATTGAAATGCATCACAAATTTATGAATGTACAAGAGAATTTGATAATTACATTATCACCACATAGACTATTTATGTATAAACACTGCTTATTTGTAAGAATTTATTTAATATTATAGTTATTTAGATTGATGTTAAACACGAGAGGCTAGATATCATTACTCAAGAATATATTCCAATTTTAAACATGCATTTCGTACACTGATTCATCATGTAGAAAAAGAGAGGAATTAATAAGGCGCTTAAGCAGGGCCGACCCTGAGAATTTAGAGGTCCTAGACGACTAATTATTATGAGGCCCTTCATCAATTGCTCCAATAATTTCTGCAGGTATCGATTCCCTTAAAACTTTCAACTCAGAATATAATTCTACCCCATCAATATCAGAAATCATATTATGCTTCAAATAATTTTCAATGTTAATGCATGAACACTTCAAACTATCATTATCAATAGATTTAAGTCTTTTTACATCAAATAAAAATCCAAAAATATCATCATATTTTT